TGCTTCAAATCCCACTCTGTTCTCTCCATCTTTTATTTATAACCAACTGGTGGTGGTGGTTGCTGCTTTTAAAGGGAACACATACCTCTTTTAGCTGTACCTCACACCTATATTCATTTTTCTTGGATAAAAGCTATTAACCTACAGGAAAATATACAAATGTATATGTACAAAGAGCCCAGTGATGTAGTGGGTTATGTGGTGGCTGTTAACTGAAAGGTTAGCAGTTTGAAACCACAAGTTGCTAATAGGGAGCAAAATGCGGCTTTCTACTCGTAAAAGAGTTACAGTCTTGGAAACCTACAGGGTCAGTTCTACCCTGTGCTATAAGGTCACTATGACTCAATGGCAATGAGTGAGTTATATGTATATGTGTACGTATACAGACGTATATACATATGTGTAGAACTGAATATGTACATATTAGCCTTGCAGTGACATGTTTTTCATTTTCTATTAAGTTCCATCAAAGTTGCGTATTTTTTTAAATCTCAGAAATATCCATACATCATCTCCTTACACTTGTACATGTAAAAACCAAACCAAACTCACTGCCATCGAGTTGATGCCAACTCAGACTGACCCTATAGGACAGGGTAAAACTGCTCCTGTGAGCACTTAAAAGACTGTAACTCTTTACAGCAGTGGAAAGCCCCATCTTTCTCCCACGGATGGTTTTGACCTTGCCAATTGCAGCCCAAAGCATGCCCACCACACCACCAGAGCTCCAGCGTATATGTAAAAGCTCCTGCTGAATGCAGGCTACATAGCATAATTATTATTTCACAAGCAAAGTGTCTGATGTTTTCGGACAGGGAGCCAAAAAAAAAAGTTTTTCCTTTAGGCACAATGCCTGCTGGAGATGTGGACGGAAACAACAATAAGCAAACACCGTATCAACCTACTTATTTTCCTGCATTTTAGAGGTAAGTGCTATGAGTGAAAATAAGAGTGGGGTAAAGAGCTAGAGCGTGGGGAGTGGGGGTGGGGTGGAGGTCATTTCAGACGGTTGTAGTCTCTGAGGGCCTCCTTGTGGAGAAGCCAGATGAGCAGAAACCTGAAGGAGGTGGGAGGGTGGTAGTGACTTGAAAGAGAAATTTTTGAGAAGAACAGCAAGGTGGATATGCTCTTTAGGGAAAACAAATGGGATTAAAGTAGAGGATCAATGTAGGAAACAGAGAAATTATTCCCCAGATTCCCCCCCCCACCCCCATAATATAGGCCAAACCTAAGGTGCTGTTTGCAAACACTTGGAGGTCAGCTGCTTAAAGGCTATCTGCCTGAAGGTTATCAGCCATCTAGAGCAATCTGACCCTATTATCTGTCCCACCCTAAGTAGAGCCCACTCCCTTCTGATAACAACAATGGATTATTCCCCTGAAGGAGAACCCAAAACCCCTAAAGTCAAGCCAACTCAGGGAAGACCTAGGTTAGGCTGCCATCTTGACTCTAGAGCCTGCCTATCTTGTTACACATGTGCCTTCCTGTAACATGCATGCCTCTAGTGCCTCCCTTTCCCATTGCATGTATACTCCTAGCTTGTCCCCTGGCTGTTACATAGGCCTATTGGACAACCGCTTCCTGTTACATGTGTGGTTACCTGTAATGAGGGGCTTGCACACCCCTAGTGATTATAAGCCTAAATATATTCTCTCTGCACGGATCTGGCTCCTGAGGTCATGATGGTCCCAGAGGTGAGCACTCGCATTCATCTTGCCTGATGGCTCCTTAATTTTAGCCCTCAATTACACAACCACCCTGTGGGACTGATGTGGAGGGTGGTACTCCACAGATCAAGGGGGCTTTTGGGAAGAGGTGAGACTGGGCAAGGAGGTAGAGTCCAAGTTATGTAGGGCCTGTTAAGGTTTTAAGAGATCTTCCTTTATTCAAAGTGGGATGGAAAGCCATTTGAGAGTTGAAGCTAACAAGGGGAGTAATATCTAAGATTTGTCTACACTTATTTCCTACACAGCATCCCAAAACAACATGTTTTAAAAGACTATGTTAGATTTCTCGGGTGGGAAATACCTCTGTTCTTGGTTCGCACGAGAGAAATTCATGCTGAAGCCTGGTTTGTGACCCAAGTGGGTTTTTTTTTATAAAGGATAGAAGAGGTTTCAGGTTTTAGCCACTGAACACGGGACTGCACCCCCACACGTGGCGACCTGAGGCCCCAGAGAGAGACCTCGGCCCGACCCAGCGAAAGGCCGAGGAGCAGCCAGAAAAAGAGAGGTGGTCTCTAGGTTCCCGCTTGTTAGGGCCTTCCGCTGTGAGGCATCGTTGATGGTGCTGGTCGACCCCATTGGCTGAATTAAGCCCACCTGGCCTAGTTTGGGCCCACCTGGGTTACTGCCTTCCTGGCTCAAGGGCCGGGATTTGGAGCATGCTCGGTAGACACACCTGGTCCCTGCTTTAGCTACCTAACAACTAGACTTACTGATGGAATAGAGACCGTTAGAACGCCCGAGACCATGGGCCTGAGTCATCCTTCGGGCCTAGAACCGAACTGGCCCCATGGCTCAGTTAATATTCAGTCTTCTAGGCCTATCAATAGAGAGGTCAGTGCTTCATCAGCTACTGGAGATCAAAGGGCAGCATCACCAAGAACAAAGCTCTTTATCGTTAGGAAAGAAAGGATTGGAAACAGGACGCATGAGGAAGAAGAGGGGTAAATTATGTTGCACTGTGGGGATTGTAACCAATGACATGAGACAAACATGTATGAATTGTTGCGTGGAGAACTGGCTTCCCCTGTAAGCCTTCACCCAATTCACTCATCTGAACTTTGAGATGTGATCCCTTGGAAATGTGTTGGAGGGAGAGCTAAACATACTTATCTGGACTTCAAGGCAGAGGGTGTGATTCCAGGGAGCAAGAGGGGGGCTGATAAGCTCATCTAAGGTGTGAAAGTAGCGGAGGAAGAAAAACAGGCTAGGATGGAGCCTCTATCGTCCATATTCAGAAACCAGGACAGCAGTGGAGGAAAACCAGGACAGAGGACTGTTTCGTAAGAAAGTATTCAAGAAAGAAAGGCTCAGTGCGTTCAGTGCTGCTGAAAGGTCAACGCGGAGGACTGGTGAGCTTGTGAAGAGCAGTCACAGGGAAGTGGTGGAGTGGGTTAAAGTGTGGCTGTTATAAGGGCTATAAGAGTCCCCCCGAAAATGATTTATTAAATAAATCAATAAAAATAAAGTGTGTGGGAGGTGGCAAAAGGGTGACGAGACAATGGGAATGGTTGACTAAAGGGGAGACGAGAAATGGTGTGTATGATGGTTGCAGAGACTAGGGATCAATTGGGTTTGTTTGTTTTAAACGTAAGGTCCCTAGGTGGCACAAACAGTTTGTGCTAGGTACTAACCAAAATGTGTGGGGTTGGAACCTCAGAAGAAGGGCGTGGTGATCCTGCGTCCATCAAAACTGCAGCCAATACAGCCCCGTGGAGTCCTCTTCTGTAATCTATTGGATGGCCCTGAGTCAGAATGAACAGCAACTGGGCTTTGGGATCCTTACGGGAATGATAGCTCCTGCAGCAATCCTCTCTCTCTCCTGCCTTCTAAAGCAACCAGCAACCCACTGCAGTCACATGGATCCCAGCGCATAACATCCTAGCTCCTTAGTGCTTCCCAGATTGTAAATCTTTGCAGGATCATACAGCCTCATCTTTCTCCCCAGGAACAGTTGGCGGGTTTGAACCACCTATCTTGTGGTTAGCAGCCCAGTGCTTAATCCGCTGTATTCCATTGTTTTGTTCTCCTGCCTTCTAAAGGCCCAAACCAAACTCAATTCTGAGGCCCAGAAGAATTGAGACCCCTGTGGGCTTCTGAGAAAGCCAAGGCTTTCTTCCTCCTAGCAGCTGGCAGGTTTGAACTGCTGACTTTGTGGTGAACAGCCCAGTGGTAGGCCATCAGGGCTCCTTCCCTGAAATACGAGAGAGGGCAAGAGGGTACTTTTGGGCGAGGTGGATAGTTCAATACCTTAATTGTGGGTGCTGGTTCTGTGGATATATATATATGGCCATGGGTGTGTATATATGTAAAATCTCATCAACGAGTGAATTTTACATTTGCAGTTTATTGAATGGCATTATACTTCAATAAACCTTTTTTTTTTAGCACACAAAACTTTGAAGTCAAAAGACCTCTGCTAACTTTCCCTCTTAAATTTGTATTCTGGTGTGATAAGGTACTCATAGATAAGGTGACTCACAGGGACCCAAAAAGATCATAAGACTGGATGTCCCTTGAGGGGCTTTCCTGCCCCCTTACCCACTCTCGGAGTCCCGGGGGTGCAGAGGTTACTCATTAGGCTGCCATCTGCATGATCGTCATCGGCAGTTCGAAGGCACCAGCAGCTCTGTGGGAGAAAGACCACTTTCTACTCCTGAACACAGTTTCAGTCCTGGAAGCCTACAGAGGGTCACCAGGTTCGCAGCTAGGTTTGGTTTTGTTTTTCAAACCCCACCCCACCTCAACCCCAGGACGCCGGTCCAGTAGGTGGCGGGAGAAGGACGGTGTGGGGCCGCTGCCCCGGACGGGCCTCCGTCACGCCAGGGTTGGGCGAGAGCGTGCGCTTAGACTGGTGACCACCAACATCCGTCTTCATCGCAGACACGACGCTACCTGGGTGTCGAATCAGAGTCAAAACGGCATGGGGTCAGAAAGCCGACGGGAGAGGAAAGATGTTTGGACACACCCTTCTCAGTCCAAGCAGCCCTGTGGGGCAGTGAATTAAAGGTTGGGCGGCCAGAGACTACACGTTGAATCGAACGTGGAACGGATGCCCACCTCCCGTCTCTTGCAGAGGAGGGATAGATTGGACCGGGCAGAGAAGAGAAGGGGCGGGCCTGCCACTCGGGATCTGTGTGCAGTTTTCTAAGTCGACGAACTACATCCAGGGCGGAGGAACAGAGAACTACATTTCCCAGCAGGCCACGGGGCCGGAAGTTCTTCCCGGCGCATGCGGAGCAGTCTCTGGGGCGCCGCGTGCTGGCGAACGGACGCATGGAGGCGGGCGGCCGGTGGCGGCACCTTCCCAGTGGGCCTAGCCTGAAGCACTTGACCGACCCCTCTTACAGGCTCCCGCGGGAGCAGCAGAAGCCCGCGCTGCAGGAGCTGACGCGGGCACATGTTGAGTCCTTCAACTACGCCGTGCGAGATGGCCTCAGCCACGCGGTGCAGGTGAGCGCGGCGACTTCCCTTCAGCGCGCGCGTCCCCAGCGCAGTTTGCTGAATCGAGACGAAGCTGGAAGCGGGCGGAGAAGTGGGGCTGGCAAGCTGCGGAGGGAAGCGAGCCGGTGGGCTGGGGAGCAGGGTGCGGGACTGGAAGGGGGAGGGCCCGGAGCGCGGGGCTAGGGGAGGGTGGAGAGCGGCGGGGGCGGGGCCCGTGGGGGCAGTGCCGGGGGCAGGGGTCCCAGAGACATGGCCTCGGGAGGTCACCGCTTAACCCCACTAACTCTGAACTCCTTGATAATGCTCAGTTTTAACTTTCCTGGGTACGCGGGAGCCGAGTTGGGAGAAGATGTTCTCTCGAGTTCTGGATGTCTATGGGATTGCTAAGGGGCTACAGTGTTTTCAGGGGAAGGTTGTAGGTGTTATGGGAGGAAGTGACCCGTTTGGGGTATGCCTCTCCACACGCATGTACATTGCTGAACCCCTTAGGTCTGCCCCTGGAAGACTTGCCCCCAAAGGTTCAGATCTAGTTGTAGGTAGGCTTCAGTTGCCCCCTAGAGCTTTAAAGAAAGAAGCTACTGGACCCCTGCACAGAGTGAGGCAGATGTTGAGGAAGATGGAAATAGGTAAGGCAAGCTTTCTTCCCGTGCGCCCCCCAAAATAGGTCCCCCTCTTGAGTGGAAAGTGGAAACGGTGTCATAGCTTTCCTGGGTAGCATATGGTTAACCTGAGTTCAGGTGAGGAAGGTGAAGGAAGGGCTCAGGTGATTACCGTGCAGCTGTCTCCAGGTTTGGGGGCCGTCTTGAGCGCTCAGCATCATTGTGAGGGGCTGGAAGGAGGACTTGAAATCCCTACTGGCCAGTAATCTAGAGAACTGCTCTGGGAAGGGGGAGTTCTCCTGGCTGCAAAAAGTTGGCGAGAAAACTCCAGTATCCTTGAATTTGATTTTTGTCTGTTTCTTTTAAACAAACTTTTTGAAGCCGCATCATACTTCTGTCATATATCTGACAGTGTATCTGACTCTCTTACTTAAATAATCTATTAAGTATGAAATGTCTTACACAGTTTACTTAGAAAGAAATTTCTAAAGTATCCCTAACCTTAGCTAAAACTTTAGAATATAGGAAACGTTTCAAAAGTGTTCAGTAGACAAGTTGTACTGCTTGTATGCCCAGGCACAGCATTCCTAATTTCAAAGCAGTTTGTTGGACGATGATGAAGTTGCAGAGATTACTGCAAGTCTCCCGAAGGAAACGTCTCTGAGTTACGGTACTTGCTGAAGCTTGAGTGAACCCCTCAGAAGTCACTTTAAATTATGCTTGAAACTCTTTACCATAGACAATCCTAGAAAGAAGAATACACAAACACGTTTTACTAGCACAATTTCACATATCTCACTGCTGTTGAGTCAGTGCAGACTCCTAACGACCCTATAGGACAGGGTAGAACTGCCCCTGTGAGTAGTTTCCGGGACTGTAACTCTTTACGGGAGTAGAAAGTCTAATCTTTCTCGCAAAGCTACACAGTTACATCCTAGAAATAAAACAGACATAGAAAAGAAGCCCTGGTGGGGAAGTGGTTACGAATTGGGCTGCAATCCAAAGGGCCCGAAGTTCCAAACCACCAGCCGCTCTTTGGGAAGAAGATGGGGATTTCTACTCCCATAAACAGTGTCAGAAATTCATGGGGACAGTTCTACCCTGCCTTGTAGGTTGACTAAGAGTTGGCATCACCTTGATGGCAGTGACTTTTTGAGTTGGTATATAACATTAAAGTTATCCATACATATAGAACAGGTAGGATTGGAAAGGACATGCGGGATTGGAGAGACAGTGTCTTGTGAATGTAATCTTGTGAATTGTATTTCAGGCCATTCCTCCCTTTGAATTTGCTTTCAAAGATGAGCGCATCTCTCTTACCATTGTGGATGCTGTTGTCAGTTCACCCACAGTTCCAAAGGGGAGCATCTGCAAAGAGCTCAAAGTTTACCCAGCAGAATGCCGGGGCCGCAGAAGTACCTACCGGGGAAAGCTGACAGTGAGTACCAGTGACACTTCACGGCTCTCATATAGCACTTCTTTGAGTATGAGGCTGACGGTACCCGATAGAGTTTATACCGGATTCTGTTGGCTTATATCTACAAGATCTCATCTTCTGAATTTGAACCATTAAATCATTTAGCATGTGGAGCGTTTTTTCCCCCTCATTATTTAGAAATTTTTATTTGTTCTTGAAGATCTAGATGTTTTCTTTAATAATTTTTTTCTTAATCTCTATTTTCATGTAGGCTGATATCAGCTGGTCAGTGAATGGAGTCTCAAAAGGAGTCATTAAGCAGTTTCTCGGGTATATTCCTATCATGGTGAAGTCCGAGCTTTGCAACTTGCACAGTCTGCCTCCAAAAGCCCTCATCGAGCACCACGAGGAACCCGAGGTGACTGCAAGGAGCCGCGTGACCTAATAGTAGAGGCCTGGCCAGGGAGTGAAAGGAGGACGTGAGGCTTGTCGGGGCTCATCAGTTCTTCCTCTGCGTCAGTTTCCCCATAGCTTAAATGGGGCTTATCAAATGAAGACGGGCTCCATCATTAGAAAACACTGTTACAGGGGAGGAAATGTCTGCTTTATTCACAGTGGCATTCGTTGAGTATTGTTAGTCATTTCTGCCCCTTTCCTCCAGCATTTCTCTCATCGGTGTTAGGTGTCCTTTGCAGTGCTTGGAGAAATGATCAGCGTGCACAGGCTCCACCAGGGACCAGGAGACCGTGTTAGGGAACAGAGAAGGGCTTTCAGTGTCAAGTCTGGGTTTAATCCCAGCCCTTCCACTTGCCAGTTGTGGCGCTTAGGGAAGTTTATTATCTTTAGACTTCTCTGGTGATCTGAGTATTTCTTTAAATGTCCTTTGAAGACCTAAGCCATTTCAGGGAGCAAGAAGGCAGCTTAGCCTAAACCTCCTAGTAGGGCAAAGTACCCTGATTTACACCCGTATTTCTTTCCCACGCCCATGTAAAAAACAGCAACCAAAAAACATTTCCAGGGTTAGTGCCAATTCATGGCAGTCTCGTGTGCTACAGAGGAGAACAACTTCCTGTGGTTTTCTTGGCAGTACTTTTTGTTGTTGTTTGAAAGGGAAGTCATTTGTGTAGAATCAAATCATCAGATCTCTCTTCTTCACCACCCAGGGACTGTTCTAAGTCCCTAGAAACACCACCTTCTACTGGAGACTGCATTTGCACGCAGAGAATATTTCCAAGGGGTCCCTTCGACTTGTGTATACTACAGCATGTTGCACTCCGGTTAATGTGTACACGTAGTAATGTATCTTTGTTTTCTCTTTTTGTCTAACACTAATCCATCTGTTTTGTCAGGAGATGGGAGGCTATTTTATAATCAACGGCATTGAGAAAGTCATCCGGATGTTGATTATGCCACGGAGAAATTTCCCCATCGCCATGATAAGACCTAAATGGAAAAGTAGAGGGCCTGGCTATACTCAGTATGGTAAGTCCCGCTGATTGATGAGGTGTTCTTTCAGAAAATGAGGCTTTTTAAAATAGAGATGCCGTTTGTAATTTTTTTATTAAGCATTTCTTTGCTAAGGTTTCTTGGTGGAAAGCCTATTTTATGTTCCAATTTTGGGGACTGAAAGAGCCTGTGTATGTAGTATGTTACTGCTATGAAGAAGGCTGGCCTGACTTGGCTGGGGGTGGGGGTGGGGATGCGACCTGTGCCTCTGATCTGTCTACATCAGCCTCTCTTAGTGATATATGAATTAACTCCAGATATTTTTTTTAAAAGAATTTCTCTCATTGTAGTCATAACCTACATGTAGCCGAGGATAACAGCATCAGCAAGTCAAAACCTTACTTATTTATTCTTTTGTGTCAGTTCATGCAGTCTTAGTGATTTTTATCTGAAGCTAAAAGAAAACCTAAAATTCTACCTTTATTCATTTGAGGTGTTTGCTGAAGCCCTCATATCCTTGCCAGACTCCGCGGGGTCCTCGGGAAATCAAGGGCCAGCAGCACGGTGTCTGCTCTTGAGGAAAATGCAAGTCTGGTTAAACTCATAGCCTTGGTCCTTTAGATATGTGGTTCCCAACTGAGGATATTTTTCGCCTTGGGGCAATGTCTAAACACTTGGTTATTGGTCTTGTTCAACTTAGTGATTTGGCTCTTAATTATGCCTAAAAGGGTAAAATAATTCAGGGGGGAAAAAAGATTGAAGCAGTGACAGTATTGCTGAAGTTTCTGGCTTCATCCTCTCACTGGTTTGAATAGGCATCTCAATGCACTGCGTGAGGGAGGAGCATTCTGCTGTCAACATGAACCTTCACTACGTGGAAAATGGCACGGTTATGTTAAACTTTATTTACCGGAAAGAACTGTTTTTCCTCCCTCTGGGATTTGCACTGAAGGTATGTTTTAATGGATATGCTTGGTTAGATTTGACGAGATGCTACTTGGAGATAGAAGCCTGTGCAGACTGAATGGGTTCTCCTTATTAAAGTACACAACCCCCCAAAAAGTACACAGCCTACTAGTTTCTCGAGTGCTCCATAACAAATTATGTCGAAATTCAGCTCATGGCCTCCCTAAATGTTTATTTCACACAGTTCTGGGGGTCAGAAATCTGGGGGCATTCGCCTGGGTGGTTCTGCACAACCTGGGGTCGCAGGTTGCTGCATGGTCACTCAGATGGTTGGCAAGTCAGTGCTGGTTATTGGAGGGTAATCTTGGCTACACTTCATGTGGACTTTTCCACAGGCTGAGTGAGATTCCTGTTGTAGACCAGGGGTTCTCAGCCTTCCTAATGTCGCGGCCCTTTAATGCAATTCCTCATGCTGTGGTGATCCCCCCCAACTATAAAATTATTTTCATTGCTACTTCATCCCTGTCATTTTGCTACTGTTATAAATCGGGTGACCCCTGTGAAAGGGTTGTTCGACCCCCAAAGGGGTCACGACCCACAGGTTGGAAACCGCTACAGTAGACGGGGACCTGAGAGAACAAGGCGGAAGTCGCGCTGCCCTGGTGACCTCACTGTGAAGGGCTCACATTGCCTTTACCTCTTGCTCTCTCGCTCCTCACACAAGCTGGCCTGACTCAGACTGAGACCACACGCCGCTGTGAGTGCGGGGACCAAGGCCCATTGGAGGCCACAGTGGTGTCTGGCCATCACACCAATGGTGCCTTCCAAGAGTTCACTTCATGTCAGCTCGGATTTCCTGGGTGCAGACAGTTCTGTTTTTCATAAATTTAAGATTCGTGACAGCCCTGCATGCAGCCGGTCTGTCGGTACTGTTTTCCCAACAGGATGTGCTCCCTTTGTGCGACACCGTCACCCTTTGCCCACCCTCACCCTGCGTGGGCTTGTGTAGCATGCTGGTGCCCCCCCGCCGCCCGCCCCCAGACCAGAGCCATCATTTGGTGTGCACCGGGAAACCACAACATTCGGGGGCTCGCTTTACTGCCACGTTGCCTTGATTGCAGTGATGTGGATCTGAACTCACACGAGCTCTGAGGTGTGCTTGTGCTAAAATGAAAGTAGAAAGAGTAGGAAGTGTTTCTAAATGAGGAAAATGGTTTGGTTATTATGAATGAACAACTGAAATGAAAACATTACCACCCCTGTGTGCTAGGCACTTGTCAGTTTTTCCGACTACCAGATTTTTAAGGAGCTCATCAAAGGGAAAGAAGACGACTCCTTCTTCAGGAACTCTGTGTCTCAGATGTTACGGATTGTCACCGAGGAGGGCTGTGCCACACAGAAACAGGTCCTGCGCTATCTCGGTGAGAGCTTCCGAGTAAAGCTCAACCTTCCCGAGTGGTACCCCAGTGAACAAGCGGCGGAGTTTCTGTTTGAGTAAGTGTGCTGTTTCCAGGGCGG